ATCGATATGAGTTCATCGGTTAAGAAAGTGTGTCTTATTCTTCCTGAAGAAGCTGAAGAAATGGAGTTAGTTGTGTTTCATCGATTTGAGAATATTGCGAATGAAGGTATGGATATTTATTTATTCGTTTTTTTGAGAAGGAAAAAATAGCGTTGATTGTGTGTTTTTTCCACATTACGTGGAAATGTACGCAAATTCCTGCTTTTATTATAGACGAATACCTGTAGTTTCATCAGTTGAGAACTTCGGCAATGATGTATTCACAGTTGGTGAAGTTTCTCATGAATTTCGCCAGTTGTAATCCGTAGAATTATGGCTCAGCTAAATTGATGATAGATAATTTAAGTATTTTACTCTTATAGTTGATATGGAGTCTAACAAAACGTGAATAGTAGATTATTTTTAATGATTGTTTTCTTATTATAGCTTTTCTTGTTTATTAAGTTACATTATTTTATATAAGTATTATTTCAAGTTATTTTATTTCACATAGAGCAAAAAGAACGTTTTATATCCATATAAATTAAATAAATTTATATTCACATAAATAAGAGTCCTTTCTAGTCAACTGTTTCTTCATAATCGACTGACTGCATATTGGCGGATGTGGACGTAGACGTTGATAAGTAACACATTCTTTCCTTTTTCGACAGGAACCAGACATACGCACCCTCATCGACACCCACACGTGCGCCTATCAAATGTCAATATATGGCTATTTACGACTGTAACCTGTATACAACTACGATATGCATTATCGTTTTTGATAGTTGCGGCGACTGTAATCATTGTTTTAGGAATATTTTACACCTATTTTGATATGAATCTCGACAAGTGTTCGCCGAAAAACATTCAAGACATCATAGTAATGCCAACGGAAAGGCTCTATATACGTAAGGCAGATAAAATGAAGACAGCATCATGCTACTCTTAAAAAATCAGAAAAGTACAAACGCTGTGGGGCTTATGCTTTTTCATCAGCACTAACATAAATCTATTATACAATCCCACTAATGCAGGTAAAAAGTTGTAGGCTAAACCCTTTTTCTCGAATCCTATAGAGACTGACAATATTCACCGATTTTTGAAGTAGGATCTGATAGAATTCATATTGTAAACCTTTTGTCCTGGCGGCATTAAAATAACTTTTCTTTAAAAGTTAAAGCTAAAGTTAAACTAGAATATACTTTACAACTTTACTTTAAAAATCAAAATTAAAGTTGATATTCATTAACATCAATTTTGACTGCCATCATTTAGCGGCTCCATATGATTCTAATGATTGTTCCATTTTCTGAAAGAAAAAGTTATATGCTGTTTAAATTTGGGCTCAAAATGCATAAAGTTTGTCATTCATTCATTCTGTCTGTTTGTCTGTCCAAACCAATCAGATTGCAACAAATTTTTTAAGCCACACTTTCATTTTGTTTAAAGCCCAATAGCCTTACTCAGTTTTTTTGGGCCGAGGAATCCGAATCCGAGGTTAGTTTTTCAGATTTTTTTTATCCCTCCTTTTTTTACACAAAGGACGACTTTTTTACGAAAAAAAGTGTTGTCGATAAAGTTTGATCAGAGGTACTAGGGGTCGGGGAATCTGAATCTGAGATTAGTTTTTCATGATTTTTTATCCCTCATTTTTCACATAAAGGATCACTTTTTTATGAAAAAATTTTTTTTATCAAGTTTGATCAGAGATAATCGGGGTCTGGGAATCCGAATCCGAGGTCAGATTTTTAAATTTTTTTATCCCTCATTTTTTTACATAAGGGATAGGTATTCTACGAAAAAAGTTTATTGGATATGGTGGGTGTGAGTATTCACTTGTTCGACATATGTTTAAAAACTATTTCTGGCAGATTGAAAAAAATCGGGTTTAAACGGGACTAGGACGGACACCACTTTTAGAAAGCGGAATCGGAATCGAGATGAAAAAAACCCTATCCAGTCGGATCCTAGTTGATAGCTGCAATCGGATTTTTTGGTAAAATTTGAATAAATAGTTAAAAAAAGGGAACAGCTGTTGGAAATTCTGCTGTTAGGTCGGCGTAGATACCAACTGTAGAATAACATTCAAAATAAAGGAAGATCTTTTCTATAGTATAATGTAATGTACTCTATTCGTAATAGCTTACAACATAATTCTCCTTTTCTTAGTGGCTTCTTGAGAATCATAGTATCAAATACTCAGTATCTTTCTAAGAGAAATTCACACAAAATGCACTTCTTCACTTCAAAGCTGAATTAATAGTGGAGGAAACAGTAAGATTAATTACGAAAACGGCTAGCCGTGAGTGGCCGACTGGAGGGAGACCGACGAACAACTAGACGTTAATTTAGAAGATTGTATTTACGCTGCTTTGACATGGGTCTCAGTTGGTTTAAGTGATTTCTTGAAAGCATTTAAGGAATGCTGACTGGGGAACGAATGCAACAGTATATCGTTGTGTCAAAATAAAAAAGAATTGGAAAACTATGATGAATAATATGCAATGTTATCTAAAAGTTGGAAGTTTTCGATTGCGAATCGATATGTTATGAGTAAAGTACTTTTGGTGCACGTGAAAAATCCTAATATAACAGATGATAGATAGAAAAATATACTATATATGGTAACGGCTAGCCGTGACTGGCTGACCGAATTGAGGCCGATGAACGACTAGACGTTGATTTAAAAGGTTTATCTTAAGTGTAATAGGTGAGATTTGATGTTTTATGAAAAATTACGAAGTGATTCGATTCTTGAACTAAAAACATATCTTTACTACATATTTGACGTAACAAGACCTATTCAATAAAAGACTTGTAAATGCAAACGTGGCGTTATTTGCTTGTTGTGATGTGAGCTAAGACACATATGCAGTTGTACGATTCTAAAACTTTTAACAGCTGTCTGGGATGGTGTCATTTTAAATGAATATCTTTTGTCAAATAATGATGTTTCGAGGTATTCTCAAACATATCCCAGTTTGGTTGTGTTATTAAACTTGCTGAATACACTTTAGAAAGAGGATCATTTTTTTCATAGCATCAACTTTTCTCATTGTTCAGGAATATTAAGATTGCTTTGCACAGATTATTTTGAAAGTGTAAGAATTCTCCAGTATGCTGCATCACAACTCTCTAAACTCTTTAAATTAGGTCAGTTTTTGCGAAAAAATGAGATATACGGCTGCGTCTGATCGTTTATTTCACAAATTACAAATGAATCATATTCGATTAAGATTTTATGATGAGTAGATCCTACCCAGATTCCCTTTCTTAACATAAAGTGAAAATTAAAATTATTTTTAATGATAATCATAGGAAATTTTCTTTCAGAAACGGATCAGCGAATCCGTCGGATGAGCGCTACTTGTACTAAAAGCTTTATTTTTTTTCAAATACTATCAAATCAGAATAAGCAAAAATAAAAGGGCAGTATTTTAAATTTGTCAAAGACAACCATCTTGAGGGTTTTGGTGGGTGGATCAGATGGAAACGAGTACAATAGAGTAAGACAAGGTAGCGGTGAGTAAAGATCGGTGACATAGGGTGAGGCATGGTAGGCGCGGATGTAAATGGGTAAAATAGCGTAAGATGGATCGAAGTAGATGAAATTAGTAATAGTGGGTTGGAACGGGTTGAAATGGAAGCAAATGCGCAGAACAGGTTAAAAACTAGCAGAAACCCGTGCAAAATATACGACAGTTTTCATCAATAAGAGTTTTCTTTTATAAAAGGCTCACCAATAATGAAAGATGTGCTTAACAACAACATCTACTTCCATCTTATCTCACGCACTCCCAACTATTTCCGCTCTCTCTCTCTCACCCACTCCAACTCTATTCCGCCGACTTCTACCTATTCTTATCCACTTACACTCACTCTTACCCTATTTCGCCCATTTCCACTCACTCCTACTAAGTGTTACCCTATTCTACCCATTTTCATCCAATCCACCCTCTGACACCATCGAGATGGTAGTTCTTTGATAAATTTAAAAGAGTGCCCTTATTTTCTGCTTATTCTGATTTGGAAGTATTAGAATAAAAATAAAGCTTTGAGCACAATCATGAAAAACATATTGAATCGCTAAATAATTGCAGTCAAAAAGGATGTTATTGCATATCAACTTTAACTATGTTTTAAAAGTAAAGTTGTAAAGTATATTTCACTTTAACTTTAGATTCGAAAGTTAAAGTTCAACTTTAAACTTCAAGCACTTTTTCAAAGTGAAGTAACAGTTAAAATAACACCCCTAAGTGAGCCAACCCCCTTGATAAGGATTCTGTTCAGTTAGAGAACAAACTAGGTAAGAAATGACTAGAATATTGTAATCAAACATTAATTGGCTATGCAGTTTTTACATTATAATTCACTAACATTCCGTTATTCTAGCACCAGCATCATTTGCACAAGCTCGTATATGGCTCGATGAAAGAATTCGATTCGATCCAGACAAACCACAAATAGCAATCTATAATATGCCTTTTGTTTATCGCCTCCAACCAGGTGATACTTTATCGATTAAACAACTTCATCAAGCTCTGCAGCTCACAATTAACAAACATCTCTCACTTCAAACATCACTTCATTTTGATATCCAAAAGAATCAACTTATGCAACAAGTTATTACTCGTGACGATAACTACACTGATATGTTTTCAATCATCGAAACAACTTATGAAACAGATGAACAACTCAACGAGATTTTACATGACGCGAAACATAATCCTCATCTTTTTGATCTTTCTCAAGGTCTTGTCTTCCGATGTCATATTATTTATTACAAACGAATCTCTTCACATAATCTACTTTCTGACAAAGATATACTTATCTTTAACTTTCATCATGCTTTGTTTGATTTTCCATCAATGAATATATTTCATCATGATCTCAATCAAGCATATACAACAGGCCAATTATTATATGATGACAACCCTAATCTTCGTTATCTCGATTGTAAACACAAATAGTTCTTATCTTTTACCTAATACATTCTTTTCTTTACTTATGTAGATGCTGTTATTGAACAACAAATGTCAATGACTGGTGCAAGTATGTTTTGGCTTGATGTTCTGGATGATTGTAAACTTGATCAGTCTTTATCATTACCATTTGATCGATATCGTCTTGCAAATGAACATCGAACTGGTCGGGGAACATCGATTTCATTTGATTTCGGTCAAGATCTCTCACATCACTTTCTTCTCCATGCATCACCAAATAACATATCACTGGAACATCTCACATTTGCTATTTATTTCATCTTTCTATTTAAAATAACTAATGGACAAACAGATTTATGTCTGGCTATGAACATCAATAATAATCGATATAGAGATGAATTCAAAACAATCATTGGATTGTTTGAGAATGTCATTCCATTACGATGTCAGTTAGATCCTCACTGGCGTTTTCATCAATTGCTCAAACATGTTCAAGAGATAACAACAAAGAGTAGGAAATATTCATATTTTCCACTTCAACATATTCTCGATCAACATCCAAATATATCAAATCCTGTATTTCTTGATACATCGTTCGAGTTTATATCATCTATGGCAAAAGATGAGAAAAATGAAATAATGAT